CCCAAGTGCTGGGATTATAGGTAGGTGCACACCACCATGCCTAGTCAATTCACTGTCTCAGCACGTCCTGTGGGCGGGGCTGGCATGACACCGGGGATCAAACCCCAGTCCCTGCGCTGTGCCTAAGCAGGTGCTTTAGTCTGCTGAGCTATCTGGCCTGCCCTATCCAAGGATTATTTGTTGAAGGAGAACTTTTGCTACCTCTAGAGCCTATTCTAACCTGATAGGGAAGGACCAGTAAGGTGTAATTGCACAGTAGGACATACAAATAGGCATCTGAGACAAGTTTACTTGTCAATCTTTTCCAGGGGAGGACACACACCTTTGTATTGGTTTAGGCAATGAGGGAGGATGAGTCTGTGTGTTTTGGAGGGCACAAACAGGACATGCCTAACAGACCTTGGTTATAACATGATGGACTTCTGGCCCTTTAAAGAGCCTATGTGCCAAAGTGTTAGTGGCATTACACCCTAGGTGGGAGGCGTTGTATAGAGACTTAATGACTTTCCACTGCACTTACTGTGGCAAGAACACACAGATTACCATTGGCCCTTTTGAGTTTTTCCTTAATGATGACCACTTGAAGCTCTTCTGTGGAGTATCTTTGTTTTAAGTCAAGATCTTCGAATGGGACTATGAGTAGAGATGCTCATAAACCAAAATTGTATTGGAGAGCAGCCTGTTTGGCAGTAGAATCTGTCTATGAATGTCCTGGAAGATAGGATCCATGGAGGTTTGATGTCTTGTTTTGAAAATTTACTGTCTTCTTAAGTTAAAGATCTCTAGTCCATGTTTTATTGGAAACCAGTGACTAGTCCATCTGGGTCTTCTATCCAACAAGCAGAACTTGTTTCCCTCACTTGGGCTCTCCAATATGCTTAGGAATATATATAGATAGATAGATAGATAGATAGATAGATAGATAGATAGATAGATATAGATATATAGATAGATATATAGATATATATAATCATCTTTTTTTCTAGATATCTGCATATGCATATACAAATGGAAAAAAGCATATTTAAAGTATATATATATATTCCTAAGCATATTGGAGACCCAGATGGAGGGCTTCTCACTTCGATGATATTATGGGGCTGTGGCATAACCTGACCTGTTAACATCATTGTTTTTGAAATTGCTTCCATAAGTGATCCATATGCAGGCTACTCTATTAATGGCTGACATCTCAGGTCAGCATAGCTGGTGTAACTTTGGGTAATGGTCTGTTTACACTCATGTTTTATCTGTTGGTTGGTTGGAGGAACCTGGCATGGTTTAAAGCATATTAACACTGAAGAGAAACATCTGGATTTTTAATAAGAATGACCAGATACTTAGCATTTTTCCAGTTATCCACAAATGTCCCTTGAGTTCTAGTAGATAATTAACTTCATGTGTAGTTAGAACTAAGTGCTTTGGTCCTGAAGTTACTTTAGGAGCTACCTGGACTAAGAGTGTTGTAGCAGCTATCATTTGCAAGTAGCTAGGCCAATCCTGTGCTACTCTAGCCAACTTCTTGGAAAATCAAGCAATTGGTCACTCCCCCTGCCAATGCTGAGCCAGCAGTCTCATGGCTACTTCTTGTCTATTAGCCACAAAGAAAATAAAGGCTTGATTAGGTCTGGGATTTCTGATGCAAGGGCCTAAGTCAAGGCCTGTTTTAAGGCTTTAAAAGCATTTTTAAGAGCTGACATCCATTGTAAGGGTTCAGTTTATGGTCTTCACATTGCCTCACATAGTGGTTTGGCTATTACTCCAAAATGGGGTATCTATGTGTGGTAGAAGCCTGTCATTGCCAAGAGAGTCCTCTATTGCTCTCTGGATTTTGGGGGAGACAGACAGCAAATTGTCTTTTCCTTGTGGATAATTGTCTTTGTCTTAGAGTTAAAATATATATCAGATATGTCATCTTTTCTTGAAAAATCTGGGCTTTGTTAGGATACCTTATAACATTTTGCTATAAAATTGAGACTCTCACTAAGGTTTTTATCTTTACACCTTGAAAATTATTTTACTCTAACCTTGGTTTCCTCAAGTCTTTTAAGGGGATGAGATAGGCTGGGGTCATTTAGTTCTGATAAACCTTGTAATACAGAAAACCCTTAAGTAATAGTCATATTTACATGAAGAGAGTTGAGGTAATAGAAGAGACAAAAAATATTGACTTTTCTAGTCTTCTTTCTAAATAGAAAAGGTATCTCTACTTTTTCTTTATTTATTTATTTTTTTTATTTATTACATTTATTTATTGTGTGTGTGTGTGTGTGTGTGTGTGTGGCCAGCTCAGCCCACCAGGGGGCGGGGCTGGCTGGCATGTGGTGCTGGAGGATCGAACCGAGGTCCCTGTGCTTTGCCAAGCTTGATTCAAGTAGGTGCTTTAGACCACTGAGCCATCTTTCCAGCCCTCTACTTTTTCTATTGTGCTTCATGAGGAGCCATCAAAAGGACAAAGAAAGGGTTCTGTGATAACAAGACAGCCACATGTAAGAGAAGGAATTGGAATCCTTCTTCACAACAGATACAAAAATTAACTCAAAGTTAATCAAATGTCCACATTGAGGACCTAAAACTGTGAAACTCTTGGAACAAGATATAGGGGTAAATTCTCACAATCTTCATTTTTGCAGTGATTTCTTAGGCTATATGTAACAAAATAAATACATAACCAGGTACATCGAAATTAAAAACATTTGGAACTGAAGATGTAGCTCAGGGATAGAGTGCACGCATGGCATGAGATCAGTGTTTGGCACTACAAAAATTTTTCTTTTACTTACGCACATCAACATTCACCATCAAGGACATGAAAAGATAGCTTTCAGAAAGTTGAAAACAAATTAATCTGAGAAGGTTCTGGTACCCATAATATAAAGAACCAATGCACTCCAACAACTTCTATTAGGTCTATAAATTAATTGAAGGAAAGAAAGCCAACTTCAAAACATTGGACCATCTTTCCTCGATTTGTATCTACTTTGGGGTCCTTTGTGAGTCTTGGTGTTTTCCAGCATAGGTCTTGCAGATGTTGCAAATCTGTTCCTAAGTACCTTACTGGCACTGTAATTTGGATCTTCTCTTTCACTGTTATCTTGTGACTATTGTTTATGGAAATGGAGGCCACTGTGTACTGTCTTAGCTTTATATCCTATTCCCATGCCACATTCTGTGATCATTTGTAAGACATGTACATTTTACTATCATAAGAAAGGGCAGCCAAATAGCTCAGTGAATTAATGCACCTGCTTGGGCAGGCAGGGGCCAGGGGTTCGATTCCCCAGACAGCTATGCCAGCCCCACCCCTGGGGCATGCTGAGATAGCTATTGAGACTGGGCATGGTGGTGACGCGTGCCTTTAATCACAGCACATGTGAGCCTGAAAACAGGAGGATCACTACGAGTCCAATCTGTGTAGTGAGACCCTGTAGTTCCTGTACTAAATACCCCAGTACCACAATAAATTAATTAATTAATTAATTAAAATTTTAAAAAAATATGGCTCACTCACTATTGTGTGGGATAGTATATTGATGTCTGAGACACTAACCTCTCCTTTTCCTTTTTGCTCCATATGAACATTCTCTAGATCACCATCTCAGGCCAAACACTACTATTTCTGCCTCTCTTTTTACCTGTGCATCTGTCGTTCCTCTTGCCTCACAGTGTCACATTACAAGTGTCAGTCTTTGTGGTGACGACACCTGTGTTCTACCTTAAGCCTCAGTTCTCCAGAATCTCCCAGTCTACACATCCAAACTGTCACCTAACAAACAGCTCAAACTCGGCATCCCAGTCAGTAGCTCTGGGAGAAGCTGGGTACTGTCCCCAGGCCTCTGTCTCTCTGCACATCCCACCAATAGGACAGGAAAGGATCCACTCCCCTCTTTTGCCACCTACCTCCTCCAGGCCACAAACATCTCACCCAGTTGCTCCAACAGCTCATGAAGGTCTCCTCATTTGTCTTCTCCCTGTAATTTCTTTTCTGCCTCCTAAAACAGACAGCATGGCGGATGTAAAATGTGGACCAGATCATTGTAAGGTTCATTTTTCTTTGGATTTTCCAGAAGGGAAAATGTTTATAATTATTAACATTTCTCCTAGTTTCTACAACTGTACCATGTGAGTCCTGCACACACATTTTCAGATTGGACAAATAGAAGCTAGACACTTGCATTAATAGGCAGAGACATAGAATAATGGGCTACAGAAGTTACTTATGGTGTTCAAAATCTATATTTCTATTAATTATCATAAAATCATTCTTTTGGCTATATAGTACATTTATACATGATGACATTATCCTACTTACTGATACTCTGATGAAGTTGCACTTCTGTAAACAAACGGACAGTTTGGTTTGATTTGTTTTTTCTGGTACTGGGGAATAACCCCAGGGCCTTCTCATTGACTAACATCCTATCTCTTCTATAATTTTATTTGAAGGCAGGATGTCACTGAGTCATGAGACTGTGCAGGGTAGACTCCAGCTTTTAATTCTGGAATTACAGACATGCATCACCACACAAGTTTCGACACACTTTACTACTCCTCTGTTTAAACACACTTCACTACACTGAGAATTATAAAATAAAAACCACAAAGGACACTGCTCTAGACTTACAGTTTAAATAAGTAAACCTCAGTAAATAAGATAATCCTGTCATTCTTCTCACAGGGGTTGTGTTGTGTGATGTTTTGTTTTGATTGTGATACTGAGGATTGAACCCAGGACCTTGGGCATGTGAGGCAAATGCTCCGCTACTGACTTACATCTAATATCACACTAAAGGGTATGTTCGTAAGAATTCAATTAGTGCTCATCAAGCCTGACTCTTTAAAAATACTCCTTAGCTCCTCCCAAGCATATCTGGTCCTCAGGTCAAATAAAGTTGGTTTTCTAACTCACAGCAAAATGTACAGGGATAGAGTTTACTGCACTTAGTGTTCTTCTTGCAAGCTTCTCCTCAAACCTCCAATGCAACTGTTCCTTATCCTAGGTTCCACCAGATGCTGCATCTCATGTGGCCAGAACTGAAGCTCATCTTCACCTTCAGCATTCTCCAGAACAGTGGGAGTGAATGAGCTTGGAACCACTGTTTCAGACAAGACTCATTGTCCTCAGTTAGACCCAGGTCGATGCTATCGCAAGGCAGAAGGCACACATAGATTCAGCAGAGCAGATTACCCCTGCCTGCAATGTTGTTTTTGGCAGGCAAAGTCAAGACAACACAGGGCTGGTGAGCTGTCAGCTTAGTGACAGGCCAGCACTCACTATACGAGGGATTCCACAACCAGCCCCACGGTTGCCCTAGCTTCTGATTGCACAGTGCAGTTACTAGACGTTTATAGTCTGTCCACTTACCTGCTATGGCAACCTAAAGCCTTCTAATTGCTTATGTGCGGTACAGAGTATTATCAGAAACTAAAAAAGAGGAACCCTGAGATGGAACTAACCTATTCTTAACACATATTCTAGTTTTTTTCTACAATTCACTATAGCAAAACTATCCAAAAAACTAGCTCCATACCAAACCTAGTATCATACCCTAGCATCTCAGCTATGCAGGAGTCTGAGGGAAGATGATTATAAGTTTTATTCCAGCCTGTTCAATGCAGTAAGACTGTGTCTCTAAAAATAAGTAAATAAAAGGAAATCATGCCTGGGTTTCTAGCCCAGTGGCAGAGCAATCATTTGTAGAAAATTCCAGTACTAGAGAAGGGGCATGAGAAAATGCTTTAGTACACTTCAAAAAGGAGAAAATGCTTTAGTACACTTCAGAAAAGAAAGTGTACTAAAATGCTTTAGTATACTCCAGATTCTCAGTGTAAACAGCTGGTATGCTGTTGGCATAACTTCTTAAAAACATATTTTTAAAAAGTATTTTTATACCATTTATTACTGGAAATTCTGTCACTAGGTATATTCTGTGACCTCACACTATAGCATAGCAACAAGGCCCTGAGCATTTCAGCTGTGTGCAGAGCCTTGTAAAACAAGGAGGTGATGACCACAGCCTCCCATGTTCTGAGATCTAAGGCAGGAAGAGACACCTATACAATGTCCTGTTGATCTTGGCCACTAGTGGAGTCCTGGACAATGAGATGGTGAGCAGTTCTCCTGTACCCTCATCAGCTGAGATGTGTGGAGCTCACACACACACACACACACACACACACACACACACACACACACACGGATGGGACATTTTCAGCTACTTACTGAGAGAATCCCTCACCATCACCAGAACTTTCCAGCAACTTGTGAAGGCAAGAAGGAGGTGAGCACAATCTTGTCTTGACCACTTCAGGAGTGTGCAGGCCTCTAAAATAAGTACCTGATTAGAGGGGCCACATGTCCTGTTGTATGCTGAAGGAACCACGTTTAGGTTGTGGCCACAGAAATTTAAGGTTCAGCTCTATATGAACAGAGAAGACTCACATAATGATTTTTTTTTTTTTTTTTTTTTTTGGAACCGAGGATTGAACTCAGGCCCTTGTTCTTGCTGGGGAAGCACTTATTCTACTGAGTCATCTCCCCAACTCCCCACATAATGATTTTTAAAAGATGATAGTAAGTTTATTATAAAAGTACTGTTGTGGGATGTAAGAGATAGGAAAGACCATTGGGGGAAAACAGGAGGTCTTATTTTCAGGTGTATACTGGCTCACCTGATAAATTCAAATTTGCTGAGGAAAGGAGAGAAGAGAGGTTCCAGCCTTTATCCATTTGGTCAAAGGGACTTTTCTTTCACATAAAACATGTGAGCAGGCAGAAGGAAAATATAAACAGTTTGTCAAGCTGTGACCGTTTTGTATCTTGGTGGTTATACTCTCAGAAATAACAGGATACTATAGGAAAAAGATGTTATAAAATTTCACTTACAGGGTCAAGTTAATGCTTTATTTCCCACTTTGATGCTTTCAGTGAATGAGATTATTTTTTCATACCAGATGTCGAACCCAGGACCTCACACTTGCCAGGCAAGCATTTATACTGCTGAGCTATAGCCCCAGCCCCAAGGAGAGTTTTAATAGAAATCATCACTATAATTATCACTTACTTTGTTAATGGGGGACTGGCTCTTTACTGGGCAGAGGAACAAGTACAGCAAAAAGGAAAAGAGACTGGTGTAGTTGTAACTCTATGAAAATCCTCAAGCTTCTGCCATGTGTCAGTGGGTCTGCCTTTGGAATGACAAGAGCAAAGCTGTTGATCCTCAGGCTTCAGCTGTGGGTAGATTTGTCAGCTTCCTGTGTGACTAGAGCAGGGCTGTCACCGTTGACAATGGCTCACTGTCCTGCAGGATCAGCCAGTTCTGTTGGCCTGGATCCTGTCGGCCGTTCCATTTGTCTTGGGCTGTTGGCTTCAGCCAGCTGTGCTGGATCCAAGGCACAGCTCCTACAACTTTCACAGCAATGGGGGTAGACAAAATTACAGTTTGGGGCCCATCCCATAGGGGTCCTAGTAGTGGGATTCCATCTTTTGACTCAAATAGAGTCCCCAGGTATAAAGGGGTGAATTGGGTCTGTTAAATTTATAGGCGTTTTTTCCTGGACCAAACCATGGATACTTTGCATGGCTATTCCCAAAGCCTGCATCTCTCTCCTTAGAGTTCATTTTTCTATTTTGCTGAGATTACTTATAATTTGACTTATAATTAGGGATGGCCAGCCAAACAAGATTTTGTAAGTGGAGTGGAAATCAGCAAGGAGACTCCAGAAAAAACTAGTATTGGAGGTCCCATTCAACACAGATATTCCCCTGGATATTTTTCCAAAACTGAAAACATCATACCATAGCAATATATGTGCACCCATGTTCATAGCAGCGCAATTTGTCCTAGCTAAATATGGAAGCAACCCAAATGCCCATCAACTGAGGAATGGATAAAGAAGATGTGGTATTTTTATACAATGGAGTATTATTCAGCTATAAAAAGGATAAATTTGAGGCTTTTATTGGTAAATGGATGCAACTAGACACCATACTCCTAAGCAAAATAAATAAGACCCACATGTACAAACATTATATTGTCTTGTTAGTGTGAGAACCTAAAAGAGAAAATAAAATCTGAATAGTACAATACATACTGGGAAAAGGGAATGAACCTTGTCAAAAGGAAGGAATAACTGAGCTGAGAAGAAGGACAGGAGAAGGGTGAGGGAAAGGGATACATCTACACATATAAGCAGGATGGTTTGGACCACTGTACTGTGGATTTCTGCTGGTCTGTGGAAAGGAGCAGTTAATGTTTTCTTTTGTCTCTTTTTTTCAATTCTTTTTTCTTTTTCTCTTCTTAATTTCTTATATATTTCTTTTTTCCTCTTCCAATTTTGCATGCGTGTATCTGGTAATATGAACAACTAAGTTGAAGATAACACTATGCATTACAACAAATACTGTGAAATTCACATTATTTTGTTTAGTGAAATTTTGTATCACTTGGAATTTTTTTGTTTTGATACTATTTTGTACTGTCTTTAAAAATTAAAAGTTTTGTAAATGAAATACCCACTTGTTTAGTGGAGTACACCAGACACAGAAGAGCTATAAGCAGGAGTCGATTCCATCTCAATTGTGTTTCTTGACAATACTTTTTTAGCAATTTCTGGAGTGTCTGATTCATGCACTTTACCTTTCTAGAGCTCTGAGGCTGGTAGGCTGTAATTTTTGTTTGATTTTTAACATCCACATGAGCTTTTGAACTATCTCAGCCATGAATGCTGAGTGTCCAGTCCCAAAGCCATCCATATCTTGGGATGATAGCCTTTTTAACAGTACCTTTGTCATTTTTAGTACCTTGTCTGTCCCAGTCAGAAGGCTTTAGCCTACCCTGAGAAGGTCCAAACTAGCATCAATCTATATTAATAGCCTCTCACTGGGACAGCTTGTTGAGGTCCCCAAGCAAGCTTTCACGCAGGGTAGCACCAGCATCTTGAATACCCAGGGGCCTGGCTATCCCTTGCTTTAGATTCTTCAGGTTATGCATTGTTGGCAAGCAGATCCAGCGATGGCAGTGAGCCATGGCACATAGATGTGATGCATTTTTCCCACAGGAGACCCCCTCATAAAACTCAAGGCCATCATTTTGGGTATGGCCAGTCTCCTGTCAGAGAATTTCTATCATTCCCACTTGATGTAAGTCCCAGGCTCTTGGGCAAACCACTTCTTTTTTTTTTGTGGGGGGGGGAGGGGAGAACCGGGGATTGAACTCAGGTCCTTGTGCTTGCCAGGCAAGTGCTTATTCTACTGAGCCATCTCCCCAGCCCCAAACCACTTCTTTTTAATTGAGGTATAGTTCGTGGTCACCATGAGTGGGGCTTTGGGGGTGAAGGGTAGAGCCAAAGCCCCCGTTTTGGGCTGTGGAACTGCCATAGCATCCCATATTGCTTCTCTTGTCTGCTTTTTGGCTTTCTTAAGCCTCTATCAGACCAGTCTATTGATGTCTCCTGCAGTGTACAACAGCTGCTTTCTGGTTAAACAGAGCATAGAGACAAAATGCTTACAAAATCTCCCATAAAATCAACTGGGGCTTTCATCTGGTTTTTGGAACATATCTGAAAAGTTCCACATATTTCAAGCTTTTTTACTTCTTGCCTTCAAGCTTTAAGGATGGATTTTCATTACTTTATTGTTCTCTCAATTCCCACTACAACATTTGAATTCTAGTTTGTTTTAATCTCAAGGAAAAGGCTTTGCTCATATGCTTGGATATTCATGACTACTGCCAGTGTAGCAGCAGATGACAGCAAGCAAAGATAAATCCCCACAAAAAAAACCCCAACTGTGTAGGAGCAAGGAAGCTTTTATTGAAAGCTCGAACTGACTGATGCCCTGACTTTGGGTCAGGACTCCCAAAGTTGTTGGTACCCACCTAAACTTTGCTTTCAGGTTATACGCATACGCTTTTCAGGCTTCCATAGTAACCACATTATTTCATTTTCAAGAATTTTACAAGAATGCCACACAATTGCTACAAAGTCAACATTTCCCAGATATTGTTGACCATCTCTCTATGCTAGGGAATTTTAGTTTAATGCTTATCCTATTCCCCAAGTTCTATTTGTTCCTATTTATGACTCTGGTTTTCTCTAAGTGGGTTTATGGTGCTGGTGGGGGAGTGAGTTTATCTATATTTTAAGTGAACTTAAGTGACCCTCCTTTAAAATAGTCTCTTTTGCCCCACCATAAACACATGGTCCTTTACTCAGCCAAGGGCTGCCTCATTTTCTTCAGTATTGAGTAGCATCAGGAGAAGCTGTTTGTAGTCCGAAACTGTTCACAGTGGACAAACTGGAGTGTAAGGAGGAAGTAGTCCCATTTCCTTAGACTGCTCCTGTAACACTGGTCTTTCTTGAGTCCCCTGTTACTTTGTTTTAATCTCTGTAGGTACTGGTAGAGTGGGTTTTCTTGTTTTCTCATATTGGGCATAGCTGTTGCCAGAAAAGGTTGAAGCCATTCAGACTAACAGTGGCCACATTCACCCATGAGCCAGTGTAGGGAAGTAGTTCTGGATGTGCTAGCTGTTGTCCTCCATTTTCAGTTACCATCAATATATCCTTCCAATTTTCTCCCTATTTATTGTCCTCTCCATAGGCTACCCTATGGAAAAGATAACAGTCAACTTAATAAAGTGTTATCAACCTCTGGGGGCTTAACTTTCCTCCATTTTCTCCACCATTACCTTCCTTAAACTTCTCTAACATACATTCCGATGTGGTGGGTTTTGAGGCTTCTCCTTTCATCTCCACCCAAGTACAGTGAATTTAGTCTTACAACTATTATAAACCTTTTATAACAAACTTGGTTTTGCTGTTAATGTATCCTTTCTTTCTTATCAGATTGTTATTTTGTAAATATGATCAACTGCCAACAGCTCTAAGTAACCTCGAATCAATGTTTTTATCTTAAACCAGCAGATAGCAGAGCAAAGAGCAACCCTGTAATAGCAACTGAGGAATTTGCAGTGCACAAGAAATGCTTTAAAACACCCTAATTAATCAACTCAGATTAGAAACCAAAAATCCACTTATCAATTAGTTAAATTTTGTAATTTGATTTTTCCTATAAAATACCTCCTTAGGCTTGGCAGGGCTTTGGCCAATCAGCCCCAGGCTGGAGTTGCTTCTTGAATTGTTTCACTTAGTACTTGCTTTGAAATGAAAAGCTGCCCCCTGCTTTGTCCCTCTAATCTCAGGAGGGGCAGCTGTCCTAAGTTACTTCTTATATTTTCATTTTGAACCAGCAGGTTTCTAAGGGTCTTTTAGTTTTGGCCTCCCAGCTGAGGCCAAGTTACCTCAGATTTATATACTTCACTTTGCTCACTCATACACAATTATAGATTTTTCTCAAACCCTTTGGACTCATACACTTTATTTCACCTTCCCCTTTTCCAGTTTTTGTGGATTTTTGTTTTTGTTTTTTTTTTCCCATCCAGGTGTCAGATGCTTAAGCTTCTGGCAGGATGGCCTACTTCCACAATTCCCATACTTCCTGCTTGCTCTGGGCCATTCCAGCCTTGCAAGTCCTGCTCCTTGCCACCAGCCTCCCCTCCACATTCCATCTGGAGCTGTACATTTCACCTGACTTAATCCAGATCAGGCCAGCTATGTGGCTTTCACACAGCAGGCCAAATCCCTATGAGCCAATGTTCCTTGCAGGCCATTCTTGCTCAGGAGTGCTGTTGCAGTCAGATTTTAGTCCTGGTCACATTACTAGGTCTTCTCCAGAAGGTGATAGGGTTCCCTTCCATCCTAATGGGACAAGTTTTTTTCCATGGGCCCCTTTACCTACCTCAATCCTGTATTGTACTGTTATTACAGAATCTCCCTGCATCTGCTTGGGTTCTACTCATTAGTTTTTGGAATCAGGAATTGAACTCAGGACCTTGTGCTTACCAGGCAAGTGCTGTGCCACTGAGCTATACCCGTGGCTCTTAGATTCCATTTGTGCTAAAGAGGAGAGGTCTCCAGGTCTCCAGGAGGACCAGTTTCCTCTTCAAGTTTTACCCAGCAGCACCAGGGGGGGTCTCAAGACTCCACAGCATGGCCCCTCTCTGGCCTCAGGCAAAAGAGATAGCAAATCTGTTGTCTCCTGTCCCTTTGTGATTGTCAAAAATGTTGTGAGATTTAAGAGATGGGAGAGACCAATGGGGAAAAATAGGACTTCGCTTTTAGGTATACACGGGCTTAGCTGATAAATCCAACATGGCTGAGCAAAAGATAAAGGACAGGTTCCAGCTTTTACGCATTGAGTCATTGGGGCTGGTCTTTGGCATGGAACTTGTGGGAAGGCAGAAGAACAACAAAGGCAGTTTGTCAAGGTGTGACAGTTTTGTATCTTGGTGGTCCTGCCCAGACATAAAAGAATATGATGAGAACAGGAGGTTTTAAATTTTCACTTTCAGAGATAAAATGTCCTGCTTCAGTACAGTATATATGAGCATAGTCAAATAAACCATCATCACACAACAAGGTAGGAGACAGCACCAAAGATGGAGAATCTTATAGGAGATGGAGCCTTGGGCAGGCCACAGAGAAAATGCCACATCAAACTGTTTCTTAGTTTCTTAGGTACTGTGTTCAGACAAAAGTGACTTGGTGATAACAGCCTGTGTGGCTGGAAGTGGGCATTCCCAGCATTGGATAGAGCCTGGGAATGGTCATTTTTTGGTGTGTGTTAACAGTTATCTGTATACACTCCTTTCTAAGAAGATAACCTCCCTACAAGAGGGCATGCGAGGCTGCTGCCACAATCATGCCAGCCCCTCAGGTCTCAGTGAAACTGGATGACACTCCAGAATGGGAGACAAGCCACTTTGGGAGCAGATTGGATTCAGCTTCATTCAACATTACTACCAGTTATTTGATACCAACAGAACCCAACTAGGCGCAGTTTATATTGAGGCACCATGCCTTACGCGGGAGGGACAGCAGTTCCAGGGGAAATTGTGGAGAAGTTGTCTAGCCTTCCATTCCAGAAAATTCAGCACAGCGTCACAGCACAGGACCATCAGCCTACACCAGGTAGCTGCATCATCAGCATGGTTGTGGGCCAGCTCAAGGCTGATGAAGACCCCATCATGGGGTTCCACCAGATGTTCCATTAAAGAACATAAGAATGGGCTATGTGGAAGGTGACAAAAGCAAGCTCCATGTAGTATCTTGTCTTTTATATTATCCAGATGTGATAAGAGCTTGGGAGAAGTTCTTGAGAGTCATCTGACACCCACCTGAGATCTTGAAATTGACAGATTGCACCCATTACTCCAGCTACACTATGGGATCTTGTAATTGACAGGCCCTGCTATTTCCCCAGCCAGCTTTGCCATGCCCTACCTCATATATTACCCTATGATGAGGATGTGAACCCTATACATGGAGAATGAGAGCAGAGTCTACCACACACATAAGTGCTGACTATCTCAGGCATGTGTGGGCCTTGTAGGAGGATGTGAAGAGAACTGCCATGTCCTGTCCACCTCAACTGTGTGCAAAACCCCTCTATAACAAGTTTTCATCTTCTCAGGTACATGGAGTCCTTGGTCACAGGAGGATGTGGATAGAACTTTCCAGGTCAGGACAGATGAAGCTTCTTGTAGCCCAAAACCATGATGTGAGAAGTATGCCCCTTGTGTGAGCACCTCTAGTAAGTAGAGCCTTCTGGAATGTGGTATGAGCAGAAGACCTAATGTTCAGACCAGGAAATGGTTATGAGTAAGTGAGAAGCCCCCATGTCTCCAATGTGCAGACCATCTTATGCCTATGAGACACTCCACCCTGTGAATGTGAGTGGAGCCTCACCATGTCCTAACCATTTCAGGGATAAATATGAGGCCTCTATAATGTAGATATAGGCATATTACTACTACATCTTAAATATAACAAGTATCTTCCACAGTGTGCATGGAATGTGGTACCCTCTTTTATAGCCAATTCGTGGGTAGTAGAGTTTGCTAGTACATGGATTTGAGCAGAGATCCTGCTGTCCTGACCATCTGAGGTGTATGTATAGTCTTCTAAAGTACAGAAGGTGGTGGGCTTAGTGGTGCATGCCTGTATCCCAACACTCAGGAGCCTGAGACAGGAGGATCACCTCAAATTCAAAGCCATCCTGGGCCCAATAATGAGTTCAGTGCCAGCATAAACAACATAAGGAGACCCTGTCTCAAAAAATATGCAGGAGAAAGCAAAGCCACCCCATAAAAAATGGTTGACCAAATCAGATGTGCAGAATTTTCTAAAATACTAATAGGAGCTGGGGATATAGGACAAGCGCCTGCCCGACAAGTACAAGGTCCTGAGTTTGACTCCTGGTATTGAAAAACAAAAATTTCTTGTTTTACTAAAATACTAATGTGAGGGGAATTCCCATGCCTCATTCCATGGTTGTATACAGAAATCTACATTAACAGGATGAGCAGACATCCCCACAGACACAGTGTCCCGACTAGCTCAGGCAAGCATAGGGCCTTCCACAGTATGGTTGAGCACATGGCTTAATTCTCACTACCTCAGGCATGTGGAGCCTTCCAAAATGAATAATTGAGAAGAATCCCTGTAATCTGACCTTGTCAGCCATATGGAGCTTGGTACAAAAAGGATGTGACTGGAGCGCCTCATGTCCAAATGAAATAACATCTGTGTAGAGTTCTTATGCAATGGTGTGAGCTAAACTTCCCCATGTGTTGCCACTTCAGGAACCTACAAGTATATGATTTGAGAGCAGAAACAACCTAGCATCTCAGGTGGTAAAGCATTTGAAAACCTACATATTAGCATAGGCTCCCTACCCCCATAAATCTTGATAATTTCAGGCATGTGTGGAAACTTCCAAAACATGGATTTAAGCAGGAGTCACCATTTCTGAGAAACTCGGGTATGTCTAGAGTCCTATACAATGTGAATTTGGCTGAGCCTTTGAATGTCTTCACCAAGGCAGGCACATGAGGGCCTCTGTATACTGTGATTAAAAACAGTATCCTTGTGTCCTGATGACCTCAGGCTTTGGTGGATCCCAGGCCTGCATGAACTGACAAATCCAGGTATTCTGGGTGCCCCTAGAACATGAGTGACAGCAGAGCTCCTCATGCACAGCATATCTGATAAGAGAGAGTCCTCTAGAAATTGGATGGAAAAATAGGCATACCAATTCCTGACACACTCAGGTATTTGTAAACCTTCCACAATGGGGCATAAACAGATACATCTCAGATGTATGCTCATAATGCACATTTATAGTGAATGCTTGAAGTTGGAATCTGATTGCAAGAGCTCATTTGGGTGAGTCAGGAATGTAAGCAACCTGTACAAATCTCTACGTGGGCAGTGCCCTCTCCTGTCCAGACAACCTCAGGCAGGGGGTGACAGGAGTAGGGGTGAGGTGAGCCCAGCAAGCTTGTCATCATCTCTCCAAGTACAGAGCCTTAGACAAGGGAAATGTGAACACTTTGCTTGTGCCAGTTCTCCTTGAAATGTCAGCCCACACCAAGGCCAAGCAGAGACCCCACATTTGAAAACTCTTAGGTACCTATGGACACCTCGACCATGTGGCAGGAAAAATACCCCACCATATCCTCAAAATCTCAGGTGATTCTGAGATCTCTATAAAGTGACTTGGAGGAATAGAGGGATTTGTTCTAATAGTGTTTGTAAATAGCATATCATGTCTGCATCTTGTACAACAAATAACCACTAGGAAGGCAATATGCAATGTGTTAATTATTGGAACTGTCCTACCAATTCGATTTGAAACTGTCTCATTGATATTTACTTCTCAATAAAATTATGGAAAAAATAAAAAAATAAAGTGACTTGGGAACCAGCTCTCCCCATGACCCCACTCTATCATGCCTCTCTAACTAGCCTTCTCCCACCTGCATGTGGCCAGAGGAAACCATCTCCACACCACATAGAGTTGCTGTCGAGCATCTACTATGTGAAGGTGGACAGAGGCCTCCACATACAGTGTGACTGGATTTCAGAAGTGCATGTGGAGCCTGTGCAATGTACCTGTGAGCAGGGACACCTCCACAGGTCTGACAAACTCAGGCATTTGTGAACACCTGATCAACACAGAAGTGAAGAGGACCTCTGCAGGTCCTGCCAAGCAGGAATGTGTGGTCCTTTTACAACAGGAAAACACAACCAAGGAAGCTCCATCTCTGTTACCTATGGAGCACAGTCCCACCTGGACATGACAGGAGCCCCACCTACTTCAACCAAGGCCTCTACAATGAGCATAGAAGAGCCGCCAGTATCCTGAATGATTCAGGCATGTAGAGAACCATCTACAAGATGAGTATGTGCATAACAGCCCTTACACCTTCTGTACTCCAACACACACACACACACACACACACACACTGACACAAAGAGATGCACACATCTTGTACTATGGATAACCACTAAGAAGATAAAAATGTACAGTGTATTGATTATCAAAACTGTCCTATTAAGGGGCTGGGGAGATGGCTCAGTGGAATAAGTGCTTCCCTGGCAAGCACAAGGGCCTGAGTTCAATCCCTGGTTCCGCCAAAAAAA